GATTAGGTTGTGATGTTCCGTGACCCAACTTGCCCAACCGTAGCAGTGACTGCTATGAATTGAAAATTACACAAACTCTTAAGAAGGGTTTAACTCCCTTTTATTCCACTTTAGAAAAGATGCGTTCACTTGACGCTCACAAACTACGCCGACCCGGCGGTTAAATAAAAATAGGAAAGTACAACTAAAAAATAAACCGATGAATAAATAACAAGCACTACCTACGAGGCTCTATAAACGTGACTAACTTAACCGCGTTCTAAGATACAGCTGAGATTTCAGCAAACTTTCTGAATAAGAAGTTGAAAGATTCAACTCACTGCCGATAGGCACACAGGCGAAACGCGCGGTTCTTAAATTTCTACCTAGCACCTTCAACGCTCGTGAATCAAGAAAGACACATACGAACTCGTTTTCCTTCTATTTAACTCAAATTACTTCTCTAAATATTTGAATAATCTTCGCGTTCTACTAAAATTTACATACTCTGGCATGGCAATCCAGGGGAAGTAAAGGCTTGATGGGAAAGATAGCTTAAATAAATGTTAGTTAAAAAAATATAAACCCTACAGGTATTTTGGTCTTTTTAGAATTCAAAAACTAAATATTTATACCCGCTACGCGGCCAGCCTTCGTGAGGCTTTTTAAATACACCGTAAGCATATTTCACAAGTGCACATCAGCGTAGCCACTGAGGGAGGGGTTTCGAAAATGAACCAATGAGTTGCTATTGCTCTTGTGACGCAAAATCTTCGTGCACGTGGCGTATGCTGTTTACGTTTTAATTTGCATTTGTTTCGCAGTTATAAATATATGCGTAATAGTAGGGAAATTCATAGTGCTTCCGTTTTCTGAGTTTGACTAATCGCTGACATTTCACTTTCACCATTTTCATTTCACCATGTGGATTAAGAGAATTCAAGTGTATATATTTTTTAATTCAGCTGAGGATGACTGAAACTGTTACAATGAATCTGGCGTTTTCTTATTGAAAATCGCATATACAAATGAATTCCATTGAAAAATTCCATTGAAAATCGCATATACAAATGCGGTGTTTTTTTTTTATTATTTAAGTATTTTTTTTTTAAAATCTGTACCCAATTTGCTTTTAGTCTGAAGTCAATACTTAAGTCCTTCAAACCTGTTGATGTTAATTCCATATGGACACCGGCATTTTGTTTTTCAAACTCGATCACATTATTGGACATACCTGAAAAGTGCATGATGGGACATAGACAACTAAATTATATATTGACAGTTCGGATTTAAAAATTATTCTCTCTATCTTAATACTATTACAAAATGCCCAGCCGCGGTAAGATAGCTGAAGCAAGTTTAGGGTTGCCAGATTTGGCGCGAAATCCACCATTGGCGACATTTGGCTAGATGCCATAGACGGATGAAGAACATTCTGGAACCAATTCTTACCGGCTTGGCCCAGAATGTTCTCTCTATTATTCTCTCTATCTTAATACTATTACAAAATGCCCAGCCGCGGTAAGATAGCTGAAGCAGGTTTAGAGTTGCCAGATTTGGCGCGAAATCCACCATTTGGCGACATTTGGCTAGATGCCATAGACGGATGAAGAACATTCTGGAACCAATTCTTACCGGCTTGGCCCAGAATGTTCTCGAAGGCAGGCCAAAGCTATATAAAAACCTGCCGGTACGCGGATAGCAGTGTTTCGCGAGTTGCTGCATCGAGAGTGTGCGTCGTTGAAGCTATCGAGTGCATCGTGAGTTGTAGCGTTGAGAGCCTCGAGAGTACGTAGAGTTCCGAGAACGAACGAACCGAGTCGGGAGCTGTACTCTAGTGCTTTTTCGTGAAGGTGTCTTCACCGTTATAGCCTGAAGGCTGTGTCGCTGATTGGTCGTAGTTTTTCTACGACTGTAAACGTGTTTTTGGAGTTGTCCTGAGTAACATTGGCTAGTAAATCGTGTTTTCATTCTTCCTCAAGTGTTGTCGTTAAGCATTCAAATACACGAACCCGTAAAACGCAGCAATGTTCTCAATTAAGAAAGCTAAACATTAATATAAAATTTGCTTAATTGCCAGAACTATAGATTTCAAGTGGGGGGGCTTAAGCTATAACTTGTCTAGCATATACGCAAATCCTGCACTGATAATGAATTCAGCTTATGCTTTGAATTACGGTGCTTTAATTAGGAATTAGGTTGTGATGTTTGCGTGGCCCCAACTTGCCCGCAACCGTAGCAGTGACTGCTATGAATTGAAAATTACACAAACTCTTAAGAAGGGTTTAACTCCCTTTTTATTCCACTTTAGAAATTAAAGATGCGTTCACTTGACGCTCACAAACTACGCCGACCCGGCGGTTAAATAAAAATAGGAAAGTACAACTAAAAATAAATAACCGGATGAATAAATAACAAGTCACTACCTACGAGGCTCTATAAACGTGACTAACTTAACCGCGTTCTAAGATACAGCTGAGATTTCAGCAAACTTTCTGAATAAGAAGTTGAAAGATTCAACTCACTGCCGAAGTAGGCACACAGGCCGAAACGCGCGGTTCTTAAATTTCTACCTAGCAACCTTCACGCTCGTGAATCAAGAAAGTACACATACGAACTCGTTTTCCTTCTATTTAACTCAAATTACTTCTGCTAAATATTTGAATACTCTTCGCGTTCTACTAAAATTTACATACTCTGGCATTGGCAATTCCAGGGGAAAGTAAAGGCTTGATGGGAAAGATAGCTTAAAATAAATGTTAGTTAAAATAAATATAAACCCTACAAGGTATTTTGGTCTTTTTTTAGAATTCAAAAACTAAATATTTATACCCGCTACGCGGCCAGCCTTCGTGAGGCTTTTAAATGCACCGTAAGCATATTTCACAAGTGCACATCAGCGTAGCCACTGAGGGAGGGGTTTCGAAAATGAACCAATGAGTTGCTATTGCTCTTGTGACGCAAAATCTTCGTGCACGTGGGCGTATGCTGTTTACGTTTTAATTTGCATTGTTTCGCAGTTATAAATATATGACGTAATAGTAGGAAATCTCATAGTGCTTCCGTTTTCTGAGTTTGATTAATCGCTGACATTTCACTTTCACCATTTTCATTTCACCATGTGGATTAAGAGAATTCAAGTGTATATATTTTTTAATTCAGCTGAGGATGACTGAAACTGTTACAATGAATCTGGCGTTTTCTTATTTCAGTGCTTGGATTCTTTTGATTTTAAAGTGTAAGATTCAGAATACATATGATCTAATTATATCCATCGTTAACATTAAACATTGTATGTGAATAAATTGAATATACTCGTTGTGAATACGATAAATTCACTCTGTTTGATGAGTATTTCTTGTGTAGACAGTACATTTAAGAGTGAGCAGTTATTAAATGTGAAATTTAACACACTAAAGTATGTACACGAATACACACTAAAGTTTATGAAATAAAGAACACGTAATTGTTCTTTATTTCATAAATTACGGTTTCATATTTTTAAGGTTGATCTTTACATTATGATAACTTGGCGTTTTTTTGGCGAAAATTTGGCGACCAACTCTATTACAGCAACCCTCTATTTTTTTTTTTCCCGCCGCCATTTTGTCTTCACGAAGTAAAGACATGTTTCTTTTCTTTTTATCTACTGAACACTTCTTCCAACAATCTACTAGCCGAATTACACTTATGCTAGAAATTTTATCTAACAAAACTGCTTAATCATGACAAATATTCACTGCAAAATTGGGAAAAAGTGCACAATACCATACTCCTTACGCGTTTTTTCAAAATAACACATACACATTAAACCATACACACGCCGACTTATTTTTACTCAAAAAAACATCCCAGAATTGCACAAAAATGGCATTGCGCACTCTTCACTATATCCATGTACACTGCTTTTTTCTCATAAATTAGAAAAATTTCACGAAAATACATGACAATTTCTCAATCTTTAAACCCGGTAAAGAGAACACAATATGAAATTACCTGATCGTGAAAAAGTATTTACCCTTTCCAAATATGAACATTTCCACATATAAAATAATAAAATATCCAAAAACTTTTACCTCTAAATCATCTATTATTATAAACGTCACCAACGAATTCATACCGCAACCATTACAAATACTTAGTGTCAGATATTTAAATTATTTCCATGCACGTTTACTTCAACTGAAACGTATACCAAATTCCTACAAACATAAAATTCACAAAATAACTATCATTTAATTAAAATATAATTAAATTCAAAAACACTACTTAAAATATAAATGAGCACATACATTAAAATTAATAAAAATTACCTTACAATCCTAATTACTTTAAACTAAATCATGCTAATAACAATTTTCCCAATAATACCAAATTCCTTTACTTCCACCTTACATTTAGAACAATGCATAAAAATAATATCCTCAAATAATTAAAAATACTAACTTACCTAATCTTCTTCAGAATCTTGATTACGTGTCCGATAAACTTTTCTTTAGTTACGGCCATGGGATCCAAAAATTCACGAACACTGTTTCACACAACACAGAATAAACCAAATACAAAATTTCGAGATTTTTTCCCGATTTCTCCCCTTTTCCGATTCAAGAACCGTAATTCGTCCATTAATATCACATGACATATCCCATGATCTCTCATTTCCCTCACACAAAATAATGCGTAATCGCAACTGAGTACTGCTCACATTATTACCAAAGTCCCAGGTAGGAACCTTTATCGCCTCCAAAATGTCGCCAAACTCCAGTTACCATATTGTAAAGATCAACCATTTTTAATTTTATAATTTCTGCATGCCATCTTACCAGATTTAAACTGATGATCTATAATCCGGAAAAATCGATAATCCGGAATCGCCGAAGTCCCGACGAGTCCAGATTAACGACTCTTGACTGTAGTACCCTTTCTTTTATTATATTTAGAGGTTTTAGTTCATTAATTGTTTTTTAAAAATATTTTAAAGTTACCTTCTGATGTTTGATATGTGGCAATTTTGAACTTACGTTTGAGCCTCCTCAAAGTTGCACTTGGGGCAGTCTGTGGACAAAGTTCTATCTAATTCTTGCTGAATTTTCTTTTTCGGAGAGAGTTTCGCAATATTTTTCAACACATCCTCCAGCAAGTCGTCTATGGTGTCTCCCTTTATAGCAGGTTTCGGCTGTGAGAGGTGGATGTCGACATTAACTCCACGTCGTTGTAAAGACTGCCCGGGTTTTGAAATCTCTGGTAACTCAAAGAAGATGGGCGGGTTAAGATCAGTAGATTTTGAATTAGCGGAAGAGTTCTTAGGAGAGGAAAGTGAAAGTCCATACACTCTCAGGATAAGAAAACAAAATAACAATATTACCTGAAGAGGAAAACAAAGGCTTTTTACTATGTGTCACTTCGGTCTGCTTCCGAATTATGGTACTTTTCCGTTTTGCCGGCGCAAGCGATAAAGGCGCCAATAATGGTACAACCGATGCCAAACGGAATATTCTCGCTGGTAACCTTTTACGCCTCATTTTCAAAACAAGTCGCAGCTTTTTCTTATCAGATTGATTGTTTCTTTCAATAGTGGCATATAATTACATAGAATTTTTATCAGATAGTTAAGTTTTATGTCTAAGGCCATTTTCGGTAAATTAAGTCAATCAGGATCAGGATGCAATCACAGCGCTTACCCGAAGCCGAAAATATAGAAAATGTAAGTCAAGGGTTAAATTCATCAATTCTAATGAGAATGCATTAGCGAAGTAAAGCACTGCAGCTTTGCATAATTTCTGAGTAAGCTATTCGTACGAATTGAAATATTTCTTGCATTTAAACTTGTGTTCCAAATTAAGATTTAACTTGAAATTAATGTAGATAATTACTAGCATTAGATTTTTGTAGAGTAGTTTACGTGAGATGAGATCGCTTGGGGTCACGTGATATGAACCGGCGAATCAAGATGTTGAACCATGAAAGCATAGTAAATTCTTAAATTAATGTCTTTTTACAAATTTACTGTCTTTATTTATTGGCTTTTTATAAAATTTTAAGCGATATTAAAATGTTTATGCCTTCAAAAAAAGAATTCTTAGAACTAACATTTTTTTAAATATTTTTTATGTGTATACTGTATGTTGTCGCCAATAAAGTCTGCTTGGCGAGATTTGCGCCGGCCAAACGGAAAAGTACCCGAATTATTTATGTACACTGCGGTGGGGGGGAGGGACAGTTCTATATCTCTTGTTCTACTGGGCAGATTGACGAAATTCAACTTGCGTTTTTCATGTCTCGGAAGCTCGACTTAGGATATGTATTAGATTTATATATAGCATTGTTATAATACAGGTATTTTGACATAAAATCGGAATTTCTCTCTTTATATTTCAGTAAAATGCAAGCTTAATTATAAGAAGTGTAGGTGCTACTTTGGTAGACGGTTGCATGGATTTTTGGCGATTTACGTTGGCGCGGTTTTAACAATCCCCAGCCATCTTGAAAAACGCTGTTTTTACGTATTTTACGCATAGTAAAGTATTCTAAACTTAAAATAAATGAATATCGTTAAAAATATTGGATTAATTTTTTGTTGAAAACGTCGTTTTTTTTTTTTTTTTTTTTTAAGATAGCAGGCAAATGTAAAGAGTACATTACTAAAAAGTATTACTAAAAGTATTATTAAAAAGTACATTTACTACGAGTATAAAATACTTAAAGTAAGGTTAAGTTATTACTTTTATATAGCAAAGAAATAGAATAACAACACCACTATAAAAACATGGCCCCCAACGTTTAATTGGATTAAAACGTTACTTAAATTGAATATCGAATTAAAAACATCATATCAACGTTTAAAAGAATTCAAATATTACTTAAATTCAAATACTTTAAAATAAGTTTTATAGGATATAATTATTTAACTTTAAAACATATGTGGCAATAAATATCTCAGGAATTTTTGAAAATATTACATTCATTTTTTTTAATAAAAATTGAAGTATACAATTATAAAGTAAAAGAAAAATATGTACTTACATTTTTTTGAGTATTTAACCTGTCGTATATTGATAAGTACCAAAAAAAAAAACCGTTCACTATGAAATCTAAAGAATTCGAAGAGATGAATAATAAAATTTTAAAATGGCGCGATAATGCAGAAATATTCAGTAACAAATCAGGGAGCTGAGTACAGCTAGTTAATGCACAAATATTCTGTAACCAGTCAGGGAGCTGATTACATCACACATAGAATTAAAATTATTCAAATAATCATAAACAAAAAACAAAAAAGTTTTAAAAAATGCAAAATTAAATTGTATTTTAATATTTAACAACCATAAATAATGTTTAAAACATTAGATTAAATCTATAGATATTAAAACCAATTACTTTTAAAGTAAGCTGACGTCATTCATTACATCATCCACAGCATAAAATTACATAAAATATCATAAACAATAAAATTTTTATTTCAAATAAAAATTCAAAGTTAAATTGATTTTTTAATATTTAGAAGCCATAAATAATATTTAAAACGCGGAATTTATGCATAATAAACCGCATTATTTTTTAAATAAAATGACAACAAAGTATCGGTTACCATAAATAACTTGTCCAGTAGAGGGTTTACCATAAGTCGTATCGCTCGCCAAAAAAAAAATCGCCAAAATCCGTGCAACCGTCCACCAAAGTAGCACCGAAATGAGTGTAAATTTAAAATAAAGAATTTAATATTAATTTAGAATAATAAACAATGGATTATTATTTTCAGAGAAAAATACACGTAGTATAAAATTCGAGAATACAGTGGAACATCATAAATAGGTGGGTCTAAATTTAGGGATATTATGTTAAGTTATGCGACGTCATAAACTTAAGCCCACCCATTTATGATGTCACTAAGCTCCGCCTTCGCAAGTTTGTTTATGCATATTCTGATCTTTTGGAACGGAATTTGATACACCTGGGTGCCTACGCTGACGCCTTACCCCAAATGGAACATAGTTGAAAGAAAAAAGAAAGTAACTGTTTGAGATATAGTAAATTTTTTTAAAATTTAAATTTTGAGGAGATTCACGCACTATAAATTCAAGCCTCAAAGCTATCTAACTGAATCTATGTTATCAAGGTAATTTTGAATCAATAGGTCTGAAGTGGTGAAAAAATACAGACGATACACACAAGATACAAGTATAACTACATAAATCAAATAATGACAAAGTAAATATAAAAATCAGACTTCCATGTATACATTTAGATTAAGAATAGACATTGGCCTTTTTTTATTAGTATCATTCTTATAATCGTGATTATAAATTCTGAGTTCAAAGTTACTTATAGCACGTAAACGAATGTGAAACTGTCTGGCCAGGTGGTACTAAAAACTGAACATCGATGAGTACAGGGAAGCATAACAAAGCAAATGAAAACAGAAAATAAAGTATTAAATAAATATTTACAGGTGCAAGACACTTATTTTTACATATATTATCAATATTGGTACTTTTCCGTTTGCCGGCGCAAATCTCGCCAAGCAGACTTTATTGGCGACAACATACAGTATACACATAAAAAATATTTATAAAAAAATGTTAGTTCTAAGAATTCTTTTTTTGAAGGTATAAACATTTTAATATCGTTTAAAATTTTATAAAAAGCCAATAAATAAAGACAGTAGATTTGTAAAAAGACATTAATTTAAGAATTTACTATGCTTTCATGGTTCAACATCTTGATTCGCCGGTTCATCTCACATGACCCCAAGCGATCTCATCTCACGTAAACTACTCTACAAAAATCTAATGCTAGTAATTATCTACAGTAATTTCAAGTTAAATCTTAATTTGGAACACAAGTTTAAATCCAAGAAATATTTCAATTCGTACGAATAGCTTACTCAGAAATTATGCAAAGCTGCAGTGCTTTACTTTGCTAATGCATTCTCATTAGAATTGATGAATTTAACCCTTGACTTACATTTTCTATATTTTCGGCTTCGGGTAAGCGCTGTGATTGCATCCTGATTGACTTAATTACCGAAAATGGCCTTAGACATAAAACTGAACTATCTGATAAAAATTCTATGTAATTATATGCCACTATTGAAAGAAACAATCAATCTGATAAGAAAAAGCTGCGACTTGTTTTGAAAATGAGGCGTAAAAGGTTACCAGCGAGAATATTCCGTTTGGCATCGGTTGTACCATTATTGGCGACTTTATCGCTTGCGCCGGCAAAACGGAAAAGTACCTCAATATTTTGTATTTTATTGAATTACGTGCTATTTCTAATTTAGGAGAGGAGACAGTGTCCAGGAGGACAGTGTGATACTTGGGAAAAGTATCACACTGTCCTCCTAGAGGAAGTACGTCATAGGATGATAACCATAACGTGGTCTACCATAATAAGCTGTTTCTTCCCTTTATGGTGTTAAGGCTGTTCTCCGAAGAATATCGGAGTGGAATTGTGCCTATTTCCGCTTGAATTGCATTGTTTCTGATATAGTACGGTGCGTTTGTAATTTGCCGCAGAACAACATTCTGGAGAGTTTGCAGTTTTCCACGTACAGTTTCACATGAATATGCCCAGACTGGACAAGTGTTACAGAGCATGGGACGCTCATGCGATGATATATTTACGAGAATTCCTCTTTCATTTTACCCTTTAATTGCTCGAAACAGTGTGTTATAAGTTACTCATTTACAAGTCCATTCTCAGACCATTGCTCTGTTATGCAAGTCCAGTTAGGGCATATATGAAACAGACTAACAGAAAAAGACTACAAGACTGTGAAAACAGTGTGTTACGAACAAATTACTAGTGCGGAATGGTATATTCTTAATAACAGAATCCATGAAGAACTAGCGGTCGACTTTCTGCAAACACACTATTATAAACTGGCCAAAACGTTAAACGAACGACAACAACAAATTGACAATCCTAGCATTAAAATATGTGATTATGATTATAACTACTTAAGCAATATTGACAGGCCAAGGCCCAATTAAATGTCTAGGTAATGCAAATGTAAGCAATGTTAAATCTTGTTAATGCAGCTTCTATGTCCAGTCACTTAATTTTCTGCTTGTATTCTCTCTTATGTCTTATGTGCATGTATATATTGTATTTATTTTATTTATGGATTCAGACTGCCATTATTTGCATACTGCCTTGTTATGTATCACTGGTCACTAGTTCCACGGCTCCTGGAGTTCAGGAATAAACCCCCAGCATATTTTCTGTAGTGAATTCCTTCTTCGACAACACGATAAAAGACAACGACTTCCTAAATCCAAACTGTTGTGGGATCAGTATATTGTTTGCTTCCAGATGATCACGTATTCTTTTGAGAATAAGAGTAAATCCCCCTTAAATTCA